GATGAGATGATGTCTGTCTTCCACTCACTGCATACAGTAATGGTTTTCACACGTTAGAAAGAAGTCTGTGCAAAATCTCTCAAAGGACCTACTTCTACTTGGAAACAATTCTGTTGGTTGTGTGAAATGGCTAGCCAAACTGACTTTTTCTTTCTAATACAACAAAAATGTCTGTTTAAAAACGTATCTTAGTTCTGTGTCATATAGTTTCTACACAGGCCCTGTATTACTGTCATATTAAACAAGAATAGTTAAAAAAAAAAATCACAAAAATAAACCTTAACTGTGCATCCAAATTTGAGTGTAGAAACATGTGCAAAGAAATGATTCTACCCTTGTGTAGTGAACACAGAAGTGGGCCACCATGACATATCTAAATTGGATGTACAAATGCCTAAAGCTGAATAAAAGATGGAGAAAAACTATCGCTTCATTTCGGTAGTTTTGCTCCTACACAGATGACAAAGCCAACTAAAAGCTGCACAGTGGAGGTATTCTTGTAAATATAAACATCTTCCACATGTACTGTGCTGTCTGAAAACTGACATCTTCAAGAACATGCAAGAAAATCAAATTTGAGATGCTGTCACAATTCTAAGGCAATGCAATTCTTTACTCCATACTAATAATTTACAAATTTGTACATTAGTATCTACTGCCACATTTGATATAACCAAATGCAAAAAAAAAAAAAAAAATCAACATTATGAACACATAAAAATTGTATATTGCCTGGCATTTACTTAAAGTGCTAAGGCAGTATTCAAGGCACTTTGACTATCAAATACTTAGACTTAACAAAATACTAGAAAGCTAATGACCAAAACTAAAAAGACAAGAATCTCACTTTGAGGTTAACAATTATTAGTAAAAAGTCAGGGGGAAAGGTGTTTAAATAAGATAATTTTTTTTTTTTTAATGAGATGAAATGTGAAATTATGTGAGCACAGTAGTGGCAGCTTGAGGCCACACAAAACCATGGCACTCATGACTGAAACCTGAGAAGATCCTCTAGCAATAGGAAGTTTAATTCCTAATAAGCCAACAGGATTGCAAATCCTTTTTCAAATTACTTTCCAACAACCATACTGTTTATAGGCAGACAAGGAAAAGACAACCATTACCAAAATAAAGCATCCAAAACATTCAAAATAATCTGCAGCTGCTTCCAGACAAGATGCAAACACCAATTTATGCTCATTTATTACTGAAAAATGTCTATTTTGTACCACAATCTGAATGATTTTATGTAAGCTATAAAAGAAAGGATTGAAATCTAAGAAACAGATTTCACCTATGTACCCAAGGAACTGAAAACTCCCTTAATTTGAAAGTAATTTTTCCCATCATTCTGCAAGAATAAACCAAAGTCAGTGACAGATTTCCCTGGAGTATTCATGAACCGCAGGCCAGAATTATGGAATTATATTTTGCCTTGAACTTCACAAAGTCAGCATGAGCAACAGATTTTATCAAAGAAAGAATCCCTATCTACAATGTGTTCCCAGAAGCACCTTGCAGAAGTGTCTTGTGGATGCTGGAGAGGAAGAGGGGAATATAATAGCTCAGAGTAAGTCACGCTTATTTCTTGAGGGCCTAGCCTGCAAACCTAGCTTATAAGTGAACTCCAGCAGCAATCTGGGTTATAGGACAGAAAAGAACCTGAGCCCCAGGCAGGTGACCTTCCCTATACTTCCATCTCTGTATAAACCTGGAACAGAAACAACCTTAAAATTCCCCAATTTTCCATTTCATTTACAACCCTGTAATTTCATTAAATACTTCCGTAACCCATGGAAGTGCTTCAAAATCAAAACATTTCAAATACTTGCCTTTTAACAGAGCGGCCATACTTGCAACAAACAATTTTAAATACAACTGTAACTATCAACAAGAACTGCCACCATTCAGAGTATATTAAAAAAAGAGTCTTCTGCACTCTATATTTTTTTTATAGACTAAGGAAGGAATCATATTCTTTCTGGCAGCACAATAATAGCTGAAGCCAATTGAGTGCATTTATTCTATGATTTTTAATAAAATTTAACTTGTAAGGCATGAAAATAATCCAGCGCAAGAGAATGGATAGTAGAGTCCATAAAATTACATCAGACTCATCAGGATTATTTTCCTTTCATTTGGAAGCTATAGATCTGCATTCTTCAGAAGTGCTTGTGTATTAAAACTCATCTCCTATGGAACTGCAGCAAAGGCTTCTTGTCTGAAGATAGCCACTAGCCAAATGACCTCATAAATTCAGGATTTATGAAGTTTTAGTTCATTTTTATGGAGATAGCAAAAAGAATCCAATACAGATTTAATTGATTGTGTTTAGGATCCACCAACATTACTCTATATTGGATTAATATAACAAACAGTTCCTATGAATTACATAAAGCTATTTTTAATTTGGATAAAAATGCAGAGTTGACTATTTCCACATTACTAATGTCATTCTTCTCAGTCAGTCATCCTCATTTGTTCACACTATCCCTCATCATAAACCCCTATTTTAAAACAAAATACTCTCAATAGCTCTATTGACTCCTAAAACACCACCTCCTCTGCTGCTTTGCTTTTTTGAATTCTGAAAACAGCCTCTACCCACTCACATTTGACACGGTATCCTAATTTAGTCTGGCTGATAATCTCGGATCATTTAGTATTGCCCACTCCTTATCTACTGTACGCACTACCTTCCTTTCTGTGCTGTCCAATACATCACACTCAGATTTCTTTGAAGCTTTCAGGGTCCTCTATTCTTTCATTTCTATTTTGTCAAATTTCACCATCTCCACACTGAATTTCCACACCTCTTATATCATTTTTCTATTGCATAGTATCTCTTTCTTTTTGTTCTTAGAGTTAAGACAGCTAGAGGGAACACAGAGATAAAGTTTTACCCTCTTAAGTTTATTTCTTCTCTTTTGCTGCTCTTTCTTACTTCTACAGCTTCACATATACATATAATTTCTTCTTATTAAATGCCAATAACTAAACACCAAACATACTTCAATAGGATTTTTTTGGTTTAAGTCCACTGTTTATGGATCAGTATCCACTATGCTGTCAGCTGCATCCCTGCTCAGTTCCCAGCTGTCAGAAAAGTAGTACCTAAATCATCAAGAAATCCATTGTTGCAGTAAATAAAAACACAAACCCAAACAGTACTGCATTCCTGGAAGTCACCTGAGAGTGTTCTAGAGGAAATCTACAACTCATGCTCAGAAACTTCCTTTGGGAGACTCTGTAGGCATGTTATCTTTTACCCATCATGAATTACCTGTTTCAGGATGTCTGCTAAACATCCTGTGTTTACTCTGCATGCAGTTTACGGATTAGAACAAGAGCTAGTAACCAGACACTTGGGACCATATAAAACACAAAAAAAAATCTTCAACTCAGTTACAATCAGTTGAAAGACTATTTTCTGTTTTTAAACAGAATTGTTCCCACTTACAGTGATCCTTAACCTTCTAACATTATTCTGATTCAAGAAGAAACTCAAATGGAGTAATCTAGTATTGTCCTGAAATGTTACATTACACTTTAACACACACACACAAACAAAACAAAAACAACAACAACAAAAAAACACCCAAAAAAAAAGAAAAAAAAAAGAAAAAAAAAACGAATTAAAATATTAGAGCCAAAGGAAGGTCATAATTTCATGTATGATCTAAGCAAGCATTGCTGCTAAAAGAAGCCAAGCTATTCTTCCCCTTCTCCTTTTTCATTTGTTTCTAGGACTACATTCTCCTTGCGAATGCTTCTGCTGGAAAGCCATTTTCTCCAGTTCTTAGGCTCACACATGCAGCCAGCCCTTATGCTGCCATGGAATGACACTACAATAAAATGCTCTGTGCAGCTTTGTCTTTTTTGAATAATGCAATATACAAACCATCACTTCTGTACATGTTCTCACTTACTCTTAATGCCTAAAAAAGGAGAAACATTAGTTCAGCCAATTGTGCTCTGCACCTTGTTACAAGGTTCTACTCAAAATTAAATATTAATGGTGAACTTTTCTGCTTATTGATAAAAATTGATAATTAAATCCACTTTATTTGAAACCTTTCCAGAAAGTGTAAGAAATTCCTCATTACGTATTTTAATCTTTTAAACTTATATTCTGAATTTAATAGAAAACTTCTTATCAAGGAGTGTACAGTCTAGGTTTTGACAAGAAATCATTAATATTAATTATATTTTAAAATTATTATCTCCAAAGCAAGGAACCTTAGATGACTGGGTTGCCAGAAATATCTATTACAATATTAATAATTAAAAAAAAAAAATGTGAGGTTGATCTGAAAGATCTCTAAGTAGCTATTGCACAATCTTTGCAAAGATCTTAATTTTTTTATATAGCTGTTCAGATGAAAAATAAAGCTAAAATGAGAAAAGAATATTAAAAGCTGAGAATGTTACTTAGGAAATATATGATCTCAAGTTTCTATATGCAGTTGCTGCACATTTGAAAGGGACTACGCCTAACACTAGTATAGTAGTTATTCTAAATCATTATTGGGGGGGTGGGAATCATGTTTGGCCTTTCATTAAAACAAAAAGAACAAGCATATTGAAAAAAATGCTGTCTTTCTTATGAACATCTTTATTCATATACTCATGACATAAGACATCCAATTGAGCTGTGTGTATGCACACACACAGAGTACACAAATCAGGTAAGGTGCAAATGAGGCATGCATTCTTACAACATTATACAAATGGAACTGCAATGTATAGTGCTTCTGAAGTAAATTAAGTAATATTCTGTGAGCATGTAGGATATATATAAGGATATAGCAAAAAAAAACCTAAAGAGAACAGATAATATCTGTAATGGGAACACCAGCCTCTGGCCTATGAAATAGTAAAGTCCTTATAATGCACATCTGCCCTAGTCAGATTACAAGCAGGGGAAAAAAAAAACCAAACAACCCCCAAAAACCCCACTATATGGCCAGGTAGCTACCATCCTTAACATTAAAGAAAAGAAAAAGCCTTCTTCCAAGGCTAAGACAAGACTTTGTAAACTCAAGGGCTTTTTTTTCCATCATCATAATTAGTACCCTGAAAAGAAAAAAGAAAGAAAAAGAATGAAGATATTTATTTAGAACAACTGCAAATGACTCATTTAACCTGCATATCCACTAGGATAGATAACTTCTAGGCAGATAACTCTAAATGCTGTTTCCATGAGAACAGAGTCACATCATGATATTTTTAATGTCTTCTCTTAGGAAGTAATCTACATTTAAAATACGGAAACTAGCATTAGGAAACTAAACCAAAGTTAAACTTAGGTTCATACCCCAGTGGAACACTTTTACTCTATAATAAAATAAAGCCATTCTATAATAGTACCAAGAGGACAATATCCACATTATTACTAATTGTGCTACATTCATCAAATTCTGGAACAGTGCTTTACTCTTGCCAGTAAGAAGCAATATAAAAAAAGTATTCAAGTAATTACTTAAACCCTATTCTATCAAACAAGCTCCCAAAAACATTCTGACTATACAACTCAAACATCCAGCAAAGAACACCCACAGATGTTGAACTACACTACACTGAACCACAAGACCCAAAGGTCAAATCTGAAGTAAATCTTGCTGTGAATGGTAAAGCAATCCCAAATAACAATTAAATATAAAAGCTCCTTTAGAGAAAACAGTATTTTTACTACTCAGAAGTGGTACTTGATATAAAGGAGGTGTCCTGGTTTTGGCTGGGATAGAGTTAATTTTCTTCCTAGTAGCTGGTATAGTGCTGTGTTTTGGATTTAGGATGAGAAGAATGTTGATAACACACTGATGTTTTAGTTGTTGCTGAGTACTGCTTATGCTAGTCAAGGACTTTTCACCTTCCCATGCTCTGCCAGGTGCACAAGAAACTGGGAGGGGGCACAGCCAGAATAGTGGATCCAAACTGACCAAAGGGCTATTCCATACCATATGACGTCATGCTAAGTATATAAACTGGGGGGAGTTGGCCGGGGAGCAGCGATTGCTGCTCCGGAACTGTCTGGGTATTGGTCGGCGGGTGGTGAGCAATTGCATTGTGCATCACTTGCTTTGTATATTATTATTATTATTATTACATTGTTACTATTATCATTACTATTTTACTTTATTTCAATTATTAAACTGTTCTTATCTCAACCCAGGAGTGTTTCTCACTCTTACTCCTCCGATTCTCTCCCCCATCCCATCGGGGCAGGGGGAGTGAGCGAGCGGCTGCATGGTGCTTAGTTGCTGGCTGGGGCTAAACCACAACAGGAGGGAATAACAGTGATAGTCAATGCCCATCCCACTCCCTCCCAGGAATCAGTAGAAGGTTTTCAATTCACCAAAGACCACTTGGCTGCGGGTTTTGTAAGCCTGGTGTCTCCTGGGATATGTGGGGTTTTTTGTTTGGAACTGGAAGAGAGTAACCTTGTAACCATACCTGTCTGCTCCTGATGGTGTTAATCACAGGAATCTGTTTCATATTGCATAAACTAATATCCAACTACTTACCTATAAGTAAGAACCAAGAAGGAATTCTTCCACTGTAATAGGTGTACTTTTTATAGTATTGGCAGAACAGTGCCAGAAATCTGAAGAATAACTTTGTAAAACTATCATGAGTTCTGGTAGGTCAGATATCCAGATCAAATCTGGCATGTAGAAAGCCTATTCTGAATGCTATGGGCTAACCCTCAAAGTACAAAGAGATGACAGTACACCAAGAGCCTTCAAAAAACAAAACAAAACAAAAAAAAACCCAAACAAAAAAAAACCACAAGTGGGAAAGATGTTGAGGTGCTGTTAGCTTTGGAAGGGACAAGCAAATACAATGGGTCCATGAAAAGCAGCAATCCCCAACATGATCCCCAACTGAACCAGGAGACGTTTTATAACTAGGGCTTATCAAATGAGGGAAAACAAATCACATGTTAAGCAGACAGTTTGGGGGTAGGGGAATTCCCTGTATGAGCCAGTCTGGGATATTTTTTGGTTTTCTTTGCAAACAGGCATTTAAAGGCCGCCTTTTCAAAGCCCATTCCAATGCTGTCCTTTAGCAGCACATTCAATGCCAATGGCTTCTGATCAGAAGAAAATCCCTCTAGATATGGTTTTCTATCTTGTTAGCAGAGAACAAGTGCAGCAGTAACACATTTTGAAGCATACAGAAAAATGGACATGCGTTGTCTGCTGCTGCTACTGGGGGAACTCTGAATAACGGGTTGGTAAAAACGCCATTACTAAAGAACTGCTGCTAGTAGAAAGTTATGTGTGATCTTTTTGTCGAAACCAGTTGTATTTCTAATAGACACAAATAGGAAGAATTAAATGAGTAAATTAACAGCAGAAATATAATAGTACTATCTACAGGAACTGTAAGTGCTCCTTTATTCTTACCTTCTTCTGCCTCATCCTCCTGGGATGACACAGGCCCTCCTCCACTTGTTGGGCTGACCAATTCTTCCTCTCTTGCAGATTCTCTTTGTAGACTGACAACTTCATAAATTGCATCTCCAGCACTTGTGTGGCTTTTGCCTTCAGACTAAAACAAAATATGCATATGTATGAGGTCCCCACTGTTGATAAATACAGTTCTAATAGTATGCCAAAACCAAACCCAAACACATACAAACAAATCTCCTATCAAGGCTAAACAATAGTTTGAGCATGACTTCCTCAGATTTCTTTGCAATGGCATACATAGACTGGCAGTAACTGACAGCTCTGTTTCTCTTTAAGTTTTATAGGTAGAAAAGACAAATAGAACTGCATTATTTCCGAAGCTGCCTCTTAACAACCATTTTAAGTATTGTTCAGAATGATGATGAATAAAGCTTTCCAATTTAAACATAGCTATAATGAGATGAGGTCAAAGAGAAACCACAGCAAAAGAAAAGAGTAGAGAACAAACAGGGAAAATATTGGAGAAAATTACATCACAGGAACAGGAACTGAATGCCTTGGGGGGGAAATTAAATGGTAAGAGTTTTTAGGAGGTAAAGACAAGACTAATGAAGAAACAAAACCTCATGCTTTTTTAAAGCCGTAAATTGTGAAAAGATCCTTGTAGTGTTTTACTCATTTAAAAACCAGAAAAATTCATTTTTCTTCCAGAGAGTATAATTTGTATTATACTCCTTTCAATAGGGAAATGTATTAGCTGTAACTAGCCATAAAGTTTGTGTTTGTAGCTTAAGTTTTATTTATTTATTTATTACTTTCATATATGTGTGTGTGTCTGTGTATGCACATGTATAAATCATTAATATCTGTTAATCTAACAGTTAAATTAGCTTGGAAGTTTGAATATGGTATCTGTAACTATATTTATTTGAGGTCAGAATGTTTTCAGTGGAAAGCATTTTGTTCTGTAAAAGCAGTTTTTCTTCCAAATCTGTCTCTTTAGGAATTTGATAACTTTCAAGGCAAACTACCTCAAAAGTTGGGGGCAGGGTGAAGTTGTTCATTTTCTTTTTACTTCAAGCTGGAAAAGTTCAGAGTTTAATCTAAGCCTTCCATGATCAATGGACTTCCACATGAAAAGAAGTTAGTTAGCTAGCTATACATTATGCACTGGATACAAGGCTGCAAGTTTTAAAATAAAAGGACTATTAGTTTCTCCTCTCAGTTACAGTTCTGAACACAATTATTACTCAGTGACATGCAGTGATTAACATATTTGTAGAGGATTGTAGAACACTGCAAACTAATGATTGTATTAAATGAACCAGCCCAAAACGTTGTGCTATTTTGTTCTTTGTGCATCTTGCCTAATCAGTTAAAATAAGGTAATTTTTTGAACATATTAAAAACATCAAATTAACCATGAAAAAGAAAAAGAACACAATTTCAGTTAGAGACTATTCAATTTGTTTAAAAACCAAAATTATGATAAAGTTGGAAGAATCCATGACATCTTCGCTGGAGATGCACATGAACTGCTGACCAGCACTTGCAATTTCAACAAGCTGATGAAATTATGCAGATGGATAGCTTAAATAGGGACTGCTTGGACTGACACAATATAAACGATTTTATACTGAGAAAACTTTCCTATCGTATTTTAGATTAATCATTCAGATCTGCTTCCTTTAAAGCTGATACTCCCTGGAAGGAGTGGCTCCAATTATCAGCCAGTTTTGCTGACTGAACTTCTCATGAAGTTGGCTTAATGAACTTCGGGGTACAGGCATAAATACCCTGCATTTTGTAACATTTAGCAGGATGATATTAGAGCCATTATCCCCGTTTTATTCTCACAGAACACCATTATCAAGTAATTACAAAATACTTGGTTAAATCAATCAAGTATTGATGCCACTAATATTATTAACCATTGCTATCTATAGCTTTTATTTTTGTGGCAGTAAGGCATTAGGTACTGTCGTGGTTTAGCCCCAGCCAGCAACTAAGCACCACGCAGCCGCTCGCTCACTCCCCCTACCCCGATGGGATGGGGGAGAGAATCGGAGGAGTAAGAGTGAGAAACACTCCTGGGTTGAGATAAGAACAGTTTAATAATTGAAATAAAGTAAAATAGTAATGATAATAGTAACAGTATAATAATGATAATAATAATAATGATACACGAAGCAAGTGATGCACAATGCAATTGCTCACCACCCGCCGACCAATACCCAGACAGTTCCCGAGCAGCAATCGCTGCTCCCTGGCCACCCCCCCGCAGTTTATATACTGAGCATGACGTCATATGGTATGGAATAGCCCTTTGGTCAGTTTGGATCCACTATTCTGGCTGTGCCCCCTCCCAGTTTCTTGTGCGCCTGGCAGAGCATGGGAAGCTGAAAAAGTCCTTGACTAGCATAAGCAGTACTCAGCAACAACTAAAAACATCAGCATGTTATCAACATTCTTCTCCTACTAAATCCAAAACACAGCACTATGCCTGCTGCTAGGAAGAAAATTAACTCTATCCCAGCCGAAACCAGGACAGGTACTATGGATTTTGTTGTATGTTACAAGAATTACAAGTCTTCAGCTCCTTGCGCATGTTCTGGTTAACTGCAAGACCCAGCTCCATAAAATGCAAACAATTCGGTTATTTGATTTGTTTTTTTCTGAAGCATGAATTTGCTTTCTACAGGAATCCACCTTTACAAGGATCATGTTCTAACAATGAAAATGTGCATGAGTAACACAGATAGATAGATAGATAGATAGACAGAGCTATCCTAAATCAGACAGCAACCTGCATTTATGTCATTCCTCATATCTGACTGCACCTCACCACTCTCAGTTCAGACTATTAAATCTATCTGAATCCTTACTCAGAAGAGCTCTGATTTTTTTCTGCCAGTACGGGCAGGTCCCACTTACACCTTGCAGGAAAATGCCATTTCACTGCTTGCTTCCTTTTGGAACACCAGTAATGGATGCTTCCTTACTGGAATGGGCACCTTACTGAGACAGCCCAAGTCTATAAAGTTTCCTGCCAAAGACTCTGCATGCTAGAACTTGCAACTGGGCAGACTGCATGCATGAATTTCTCACCCACAGTCAAACACACTACATTTGCACAATGACCGATAGCATTATTGTCATGATTTTACATCAGCAGGAAATTACACCACAGGATTCGTTGTCTTACGCAGAGAAGCCATCTATCTTTGGAGCTGAGGCTTTTGATATTAATCCATTGTTATGTTCCCTAGAATCTGCCTAAGCTCAACTGCTTTCCCCAAAAGTTCACAAATGGTGACAATGACACCTGCAAAGTTATTTTCCAAGGAGTAAATGTGCCCTGAGGTACAGCATCTTTCAGAGGTATCTGCAGGAACAGCTATTACAATACAAACTGTCCAACTAGTAATTGGCTAAATAAAGACTTGCTACAGGTCAACCAGAGCGATCCTGTCATCCATAATCAGGACTTAATCTTGCAGAAAGATTACAAAGATTAGAAGCATTCCTTTCCCAAAAATCTGCAGAACAGCTCCTCAGAATTTAACAGCAGGGAGAAACGAATGTGTTTCTTCAGGGAGAGGAGGCAAGTGTATCTTGTCACATTATAAGTGGTGAGAAAGAAAGAAAGCATCCATATTACTCAATTAAAAATGGTACAGTTGTGACTTAAAAGGAAAGTTTAACAGATTATAGAGAAGTATCAAACAGCTGAGAATCTAATATTTTCATATGTATTATCTACATTGTAAATGTAAAGAAGTTCTCAACGTTTGCATATAACAGTTGGTTTCCTCAGATTTTCTAAAATTCTAAGTTGCTATGCTAATCTCTAGAAGAAATACAGAAACAGCATCACAATGGATTTATTTACTCACTAAGTGTTAAACACAGCTGCACTTTTGCCATGTAATATCAACATAGCTTGTTTTTTCAGACCTATTACTGTACCCCACAGGAAGATGACAATTCAAATATTCACAGTAGGCTCAGCAAAATTAAATCACTGCTCTTTCATTAGTCAAAGATGATGGACCACTATTCCAGTTCAAATCATACAGTTAGCTTCTGCTGTTCACTTTTTGAACCAATACCACAACATAAGTCTTTGGAGAAAACAGGTCAACAGTCGCTGCACGAGGATGCAGTTGTGCATCATCCTACAATGATAATGGGCAGACATACATACTTTACGTACCTCACCCAATGCCAAAAATCAAAGAGACTTTAGCATTCTATTCAATAGGTAACTATTCAACAAACATTACCAGATGAGATAGATATATCATTTCTCAGTGCTTGAGGAAGAAATAAATGCACATTAATCACACAAGCACAGGACTGGGAAAGCTAACACAGAGGGAATACACAACTATGCATTAAGCTTCATCTTAACCACTCCCTCCCCTCTGTAGAATCGGGCAGTGTTTGTACAACTTGACTTAAAAGCCAAATTCCAAGGGACTGACAAACTGAAATACGTCAGAGAAGAGTTTGCTAAAAGTGGTTATTTCTTTACTGTTATTTGAACAGTTCACAGGGTTACAATCATCAGCAAGAAATCACATGAACAATGCTAATTTAGTAAATCATTGAAACAATAATGCCCTTAGCCTCACATTTCAAAAAGCCCTGGGGCAGTGAAGGACAAGAATTTATACCCTCATCAGCAACCACAAGGGTGAAAACATGGCAACTTCTCCATGCAGCAGAACTTACTTTTCCAGATAATCTCCTTCCAAACTTCTCTCTTTTTGAAAACATGGAGAAATCTACCTTCTCAGATACTTTGAAAAATCAGTAGTAATAGCCTGACTCTTAAACTTCTGCATTAGATTCCTTTGCCCTTAATTGATTATATTCTTACAGCCACCTGCCTTCACATTTTGAACCTCAGTAGCCAGGATTTCCCTTTGATATATATTAGTTGATTTTTCAGTGAACAATTAAAGAGTCATTTTCAAGTTTTACCAGTCAAACGGACTTGCTTTAGATGTCTGCATACAGGTCAGATGGTATGAAATTATAGAGAATTCAATACATAGGTTCAAAATTGTTTAGGCCCACAAAGCCAATGACTTATGACTCATTGTAATTCAGTTTACAAAGGCATTGAATATTTATATATGCTACTTCATCATTGCTTATTTAAGCATCTCAGCAATATCTAGAAACAAACAAAAAAAAAAGAAACAAACTACTGAAGTGCAGGTGCCATGCTAACTTTTATAAAGGCCAAATTAAGACAGACAAAAGAAACGCTCCCAGCATCAACTTTTCTTCAAAAAACAAACATGCAATACCTGTTTTAGCTTCATATAAAAAGTTTCTGTGAAGGTTTTTCTGCTGAAGTACCAGAAGCGTTCATTGGCAGGATACACACGCACAACGGTCTCCAACAAAAAACGGACTGGCTCTACTACTTCAGTAACAACCATATCCACTGCCACAGTCATGAATACACGCTTATCTAAAACACAAAAATACATTACATATGGAAAAGTTAGTCAAAGTTCAAATTTCTCAAAACAGTAAATGACAGAAGTAAACTGTTGTTCAAATTAAAACCCCTTCCTATCTAATTACTGATTCTATTGCACCCATTTTATTTATCTGAGTTCTAAGTACCCTACATGCCTGCTGCACAGAATAAGAGTATGCATTAAACAGTGTACCAAGTAACTTTGGTAACTTTTTAAAACAAAGACGATATGTCTTTGTTTTAAAGACAGAAGCAAAACATCATGCAAAGAAAACAGCATTAAGATCCATGATCTCTGTCAGACAAAGGGAACGTGCACAGGATAAGTTCGCATTTTACAGTGTAAACTTACTGCTGAGGGAATATACGTATGTATAGCTAATCAGTGTCAAGGATCTCCTACAGCACTGTTTGTCCTAAATCCTCTCGTAACACTAAGAAGCACTTCAGATAAGTTTTTATGTCCGTGCTCATACTCTGTCAGTTACAAGGACTCAAAATATTTTACCTTTCCCTATCCCACTCTGGGTCAGACAGTCCTCAGAGCAGCAAAACGTATTTTTAAAGCAAAGCATGGATCAGTAATCTTAATCTGTAATAGCTCTATCTTCCTGATACTGAAGCATAACTCCAACCTTTTCAAGTACAGAAGAATGAAGGATCAGCTGACCAGAGGATGAGACTGAAATAGTCCAAGTGTATCTTGCAGGTTTACAGTGCAAGAAAAGATTTGCTGCTTCTGGAAGCATTCACCACAGAGAGAGGTAGTAACCATCATACTGTATCACAACTGATATCTTCCTTGCAGGAAGCACAGATTTTTAAGATAAATACTTAGAATCAGGTATTACAGGTCCCTAGGTTCCCTTGTCTTATCAGACCAAAAAGGCAAGTGGGTATTAAAAAAACCAACCAACCAAACAAACAAACAAAAAAACCACACCACAAAACCAGACCATACTACACACACAAAGTCATCTCATAAAATGGTCGCTGTAACAAGCTGGACAGCAAGAGTTTTGCCTATATGCTACTAGGAATACTGTGGTTTGAAAATCCAGCAGCAGTAACAAGTGACACTGGCTGTATATACTTGGGTATGCATTTAAGCAACTGATATAAGCTCTGCCATGGGATAGGAAACAAACTCCAGATTTGCATTCAAACCTTTTACATTGCATCAGAGATCATCAATTCTAGCAATAAGAAACTGTGCTATATAATCAAGCACTTCAGTGCATCACTTCCAGATGCCCCAAGATGAAGGGAATGTAATGCTATTTATAATCAACTCACCCCAAAACTAAAAGAAAGAGAATAGCAATGCCTACAATTTATACTGCTTTGCTGAGTACAGGTGGAAAACAACTTCTGCATGCTTAGGACCAAAATGTCCTGATAACCAGGGAACAGGCATATAAGCTCCAAACACTAATTTAACGTCTCCTAATCAGCAACACACAGCTCTATGAACAATTATTCACATTTCTATGTTGCATATGTTTATCCAGAAAAGTTTCTAGCCATGGACTCTTGGAATATAATGGTGTATGTACTCAGACATATGCACACTGATTCCCAGGAGAAAATACATACACCAAACCCATGTCAGGTAAAACAAATTTACAAGTTAGATTAAATTACCTTTAGGAGTTTCCTCATTAAGTACTAGAAACATTGGTGCATTAGGATTCCACATTCCAGTAATTACATAAGCCTTCCCATCAGAACTCTTTACCATGGATTCCTAAAATTAAAAATGTCCAGAATTCTATTAAAGTCATGGTTTGAGATCAAAGACATTAAGCATGGTGAGGGGAAATAGTTCTAGGAACTTCACAGTAAGATTGTGTTCGCTCTAGACAACACAATCTAAATAAAGAATATGGAATAATGGATTGAGAAAGGTTCTAGGGAAATGGAAGAGAAAGAAGAAACATTAGAAGAGGAGAAACATATAAGAAGCTAAAGACAAGATAGTTTATCAATGTATTTTTTTAATGCTTATTATAAGCATGAAAGCATGGTGGGATGTCTGCCACTCTACTTTCTGAGCAGCTGAGAAGGTTGTTAGGAGAGGATGAGTTACAAGAGATTTCATAAAATTAACCTAGCCCCACAGTATACACAGAAATGATCGGGGGGGTGGGGGGGAGGGCAGCGGGGAACCAACACACAAAACAAACCTACCACACCTTAACAGCGTAAGCCCTTACCAACTCCAACCCAAAGGTTAGTCTGATTTTTCCCAAGCCATAATTACACCTCTGCCAGGTTTCTCCCTGACATGCTCAGGCATGGACTTGTGTTTGTAAGCATGCCGATGGACTGGAAGTCCGGTCCATAGGAACTTTATATTTAAAGAGCCAAATTTCAGGACAATATGCAAATAATGTCACAACAGCCACACATGAAGTTTAATACTAACAGCAATGCCTCTGTATCTGGTTGAAATAATCTTATGCTACACATCTGTTACTTCTACAAATATTTCTTACAGACCTGCTAGGAATAATCACAGTACATGACCTGCACATATGAGCTATTAGTAGTATGAGGCAAGTGCATGCTTCCTGAAGTTTTCTAGGACACTTCCTATGGATCCAACAGTCCTATATGGTAGCCTCTTTATAGATGAAAGGAGATTTGACATTCCTACTCTGCAATCCAATTTGTGGTAGAGCAGTAATGTCTGAGTTCTCCAGATTTAAACAGGGAGAAATGGGGTTGAAAGGAAAACACATGCACAAAATTTACATGTATATGCTATAGCCAAGAAATGAACTAATAAGCCATTACATCCAGCGGTTAAATATACCTGGAATGCAAATGTAAATAGAATTACAGGTGGAGTAAAGACAGGAATTCAAATATAAAGTCCACAGAGTAAAAAGGTGTTATATAAATTTATAGACGCCAATTCATTTTCATTACACTCCATAACTCACTATAATTTCTTCAATTTTCTAATCAAATAATAAAAATGGAAAATTGGAACTAATCTCAGCAAATAGAACCAGAAAAAATGAGCTACTAGATACAAACAGGCAAATAAGAGAGTCTGACAACAGAACTAAATGCTGATAGCTTGAATCATCAAGATGAGTAAAGAAATGGACTAGGCAAAACTGGGATAACTGTACAGCCACAAAAGTCTGACTGGTTTAACACAAGCACTTCTTGACTTGAAAGTGGCTGTATTCTTATCCACAGAATAAAAGGAAATTGATACTCTCACAGAAAGTATCATATTATTTTGTAGTTGTCTTAGAACGAGCTCATAAGAAATGAAGATTGTAGAAGACAAGTGAATACTTGAAACTCTGAGCAAGAATTTAAATTCAAATGAAGCAAATAAAGGCAAAGTTTTCAGCACCTTGGAAAAATAAGACCACTCCCCTGACACTCAATTATAAAAACAATTATTTGCTCTACATTTTTAGGCAATGTGCTTAACACAATACAGAAAGCTTAGTTATTTGTTAACAACCAGCTGTTGTCACCAAACAGATGAGAGGTTTGTTTTGTTAGGTTTTGTTTGTTTTTTAAATCACCTCTACCTTACTAAACAGGTTACTAGAGCTAAGTATTACCATGTCTAGTAAATGCATGTCACTGTTCTTCACATTTCGTCCAGGGCTTAGTAGCATCCCAAAGCATCTGTGAAGTTTATTTAAAAAGAAAAAAGAAGAAAAAATATTAGCTTTTCAAAATACTAAGGTATTTTCTTGAACATAATGGCACAGCCACCTACTGCTTCTAATTTAAAGAAAACCTTTCTTAGTAATTTTTGTTAGTGTTATGGCAACGCTCATGAAGCATCACAATATATATTATAGAAATGACAATGAAATTATTTTCCAGAATGAAGATGACAGAAATTAGTGTCTGACCTGTGAACAATCAATTATTCTTAAAGACAACTTCAAATATTGAGCTTAAAGATACCAACAATTCCTATACATTAGTGATGGAGATTGGCAAGAAGAAATTCACTCTCCCCAGTCCACTTTAAAAATTGTTTTCATACAATCATATGAAAAGTTACAAATTCACACATTCTGTCACCAACAATGTCACTGTTGTAAAACATGATGTAGTATCATAGGCCCTTAAAAAACCTAATTTGCTCAATTTTTAGACTTTCATTCTTTATTTTTTAAAACTGAACTTCTATATTATACAGGGCCTTGAATTCCAGAATTCCAGTCCAGTTGCTTAACAAGAAAATGTTCTTGATATTTTTAAGAGTAAAAAAAATAAAAGTTCCAAAACGTTCTTAAAACACTGAGAATTTTGGACTTCCTGAATATTGAAGGCACTACTCAAAAGAGGACCAACTTGAATCAGGTTGCCCAGGGCCTTGTCAAGTCAAGTTCTGAGCATCTCTGAGAACAGAGAGCGAATGATATCTTTTGGCAACCTGTTCCAACGCTCAACTCCCTTTGTATCGACAACAACTGGCCTCGCTCAACAATTTCCTAGGAAGTAACTTGTGTCCATTGACTCTAATCCTACCACTCTGCACTTCCAAGAAGAGTCTGGCTCCATCTCCTCCACACCCTCCCACCAGGTATTTGAATGCACCAGGAAGAGCCCCCCATTCCCACCTTCTCCAAGTCTGAACAAAAGCAGTTCTGTCATCTGGGTAACCCACTTATCCAAATGAAAATTTAGATATTCAAGCAAACGTAAATTATAAGAGATATATTTGAACATTCATAGGTTAGCAATGAAGACAGAATAGTTTCACAGCTTTCAGGCAAGCACACTGTATAATGAACAAAGATATAATAGCAACTATCATTTCAATAATTATATTAAGTGTAAAAATCTTAAGATATGCAATTACTACACCACCTAGCAAGTTTGTCCCTATTATGTTTGGGTATATGATTTTCATCTTCCACTTTACTACACTTAAACAGTAACTTACATCCACAACTGTATTTTTCCTTCTCCATACTCTTTCACTACTAGAATCTTAAAAATCAAACTGGTAAATAAAACAGTAGACAATTTTGATTTATCTATATGGCATAAGGCAGCGCCGTGTAAAGCAACCAACATAGCTAGGATGCTAGGACTTGTATTTAACCACACAAGCAGGCTTCTCTCTGAGACTAATTAGACCAGGCAGAATGTTACAGTAGACTGACTTACTACTTTTTGTTCCCGAGGTAGAAATAACTCTGAGAGGGTTATAATTTATAATAGCAGAGGGCTCACTAGCTTCTGGTACACCTGCTAAAGAAAACTGTAAGGCTAAGATTCAGAGGCAGGCAAAATATCTGTGCTTTTCAAAGACAACAGCTCACAGATTCTAGCTCTTGCTGTGCTTCTCTCAGATGTACACAAGTTCAGATGTGTGCCAGCCAAAATTTTTGGGAAGTATGCTTCCAAAAGAGTGGGAGTCAGGAACAAGTAACCCCGGTCTCTCACAGAAGCAGATACTTATGATGGCTGGCAGCATCCTGCTACTAGAAGAGTCATGGCTTCTCTTTCCACTAAGTTCAAAGGGCAAAACAAGTTCAAATGATTTCAGGACCCTCACTTGCAGAGGAGCTAGATTTTATGCAAATAGTTGTCAACACGTTCAGCCTCCAATTTGAGGAGGCTGAACCACATAGCCAGGATTCAAAATGACCTTCACAGACTGTGGACCTCCGTCTTGCCACGTCCGACATGTTGGGTTTTCTGCACTTATAGCTGGCTACCAAGTGGCTATGTGCAGGAGCACTACTCTGTTTAAATTCAACTAGTTTCTAGACCTGCAAAAGAAGAACTGAAATTATTCTTCACTAATGTATATTTCCATTTATAATTTACATTTACAAATGCTACCCACGGATAAGGCCTATGGTATTAAGTTAACATGGAAACATGATCTTTAAGAATCTCCAGTACTACTGAGCAACAAACCAATATTCTGTGTATCAGTTTTAAGGACACCAGTCTTTAACCTAAGCTATACCTAGATAACTTGGTATTAACTATCCTGTACGACTGGTAGCATATTATACTAAACACCACTGTATTGAGAACAGAGTCAGTCCTCAGAACAATTTCTCAGAACAAAAGGCACAGAACTCTTCAGAAAAACTTTCCTAAAGCCCACAATCATTAACCAGAAATTTCTGCATGAATCCTGTAAACAGCTGAGACTTGGTATCGCACATTGTGGGACTGAACCTATGTAGTGCCACACATGACTCAAACCTAGGAGACGGGAATGAACATAATTTCTTTACCTGCTTTGACCTAGATAAAAACAGGCAAAACCCAGGTCAAACTGGCCCTTTCTACCTTTGTGGCCTAAGTAACTCAACTGAGAGTAACCTACTCAACCTAACGCAGCCATAGGCCCTACCTGAACACCAGGAGGTGGCGAGTTTCTCTGAGCTACTCTTCTGAGACCATGAAGAGAGATTCTTGAACTCATTAGACCAGAGACCAAATTTCTTTAGCAGCAACATTTTTTTGCATTATAATTTCCACTTAGAAATACTTTTTGAAGAGACATTAAATTGCTTAGAAGCTCACTGTCTGATGTAACCTGAATCAATCTTTTATACCGGTTTTGAATTTTAATATTATGCAGTATAAGTACATAAAATGACTAACAAACCTGTGTATGTCATGTCAATTAAATAACTTCTTTTATTGGCAAAGCTTATGGTGATAAAAATAACATCCTAAGTAACATCAAAATAAAAGCTTATTTCCAAGGAAGGTAGCTTTACTTTGGAGGGGGCAGGAAACAACAGTCAAATGCTACTCAGAAACACTGAAAACAGTTCATCACTCATTAACTGAATTCTGAAGCAAAAATTATTTAAATTAAAAATACATTGAAAATATGAATTTCTTTTTAAAGCCAATGAGTAGCAAAAGCACGATTTTACAACCAACAGAATGATAAGAATATCTGCTGTACATTACTTGTCTAAAATTTTAATTTCATTTTTTAAAGAAGAGCTTGAAAGCAAGTGAAGAAATCAATCTTAGGTTCTGGGAGGGTTGTGGGGCTTTTTTCTTGATTCTCCTGTTATCTTGAATTCACTGTTCACTAAAATTGAATTCTCCTATTGTTACTCTTTTGACAAGATTGCCATCTGGTGGCGTTTGCTGTTTTTAAAAATTGAGCTATTGAGAAGGAATTTCCTAATTTAAATTATACAATACCTACTACTATTGTAGTAACAAGAGTTAATGCGTTAATGAACACTTTAACTAACTGTTATTCTTCACATGCATGGTCCACTTCTTGTGCAAATGCTTTGCACAAAAGGTCAGATTATTCTGTCCAAAAAGGATCCATCTCATGTAATTTGCAGGAAGTACAACATGAGTCATCAACCATTCCCGAGCTCTTCACCATCGCTTCAAGATAAACATTAGAATCATGTTATAACACAACTACAAAAGAATCCTCCACCAAAAGATTCCTTCTTCTAACCAGCAGGTTGAGTCCAAACTTGTAGTGTTCCAGTACATTGATCTAACAGATTAATCTGCTCCAAGGTTTAACATAGCTCAGACAACTTAACTTGGTTACTGTTACTAAACAGTGAGATGCTGGTAATGGAGGATTACAATAAATGCATGGGTTTGCACTACTTAAAAACTACAGAAAGCAAGATCAAAAGCATTTGAACATCGTAAGTATCCTAACACCACATTCAAAAAGACAATTAAAAGGCAAAAAACCCAAGAATGTTTGAGTATTACAGGCTATGTGTCTTGTTTTTACCTAAAAAAAAAAAAAAACCACACAAATACTTCAAAAGAAATTTAAAACTGAACTGCACACTTATAAATTAATTATACTGTGCAATAATACTTTCCGTGTTATTGTTGTATTTCTTTCTGTCACATAACTTGCAAAGCCAGAAAAATGTACATTAAATACTGTTCTCTCAAAAACTGAACCTGTATTATTTTTGTAAGAATCTTACCTTTCAATAGCCAGTTCTTTGTTCGAGAGTTGCTGAACTGTAATCACCACTTTCTTCTCAATTCCCTGTTTAAGCTTGAAATAAAATTTCTCCCTATCCTTTGGCACAGGGCTAAAAGAATAAAGAAACAAGTTTCTTTAGCACAGGTACAGAAGATTAACTGTTAAATACAGAAAAGAGAGTAGCAGCCCACTTAAACTGTTAATGGCTCAACTCATTTGAGAGACCTTCTCTTTCTTTATTCACAAGTTAATAAACCTGCACTGAAGAAAAACAGACTATAGGCTCACACTTAGCATGTTAAATGTCTGGGGGGTTTATCAGACAAATGCATGCAAAAATGCATGGGGTATTTGGGGTTCTAAAATCATAGAAAATATGCTATATAACGGCTATGAAGCAAAAAATAAATAGGACATTTTCAGAGCATTAACTCTCTCTTCCATTCCAAAAAATCTTGTAATTAACTGTTAGGCAAAGAATACTTTGCTCCCCTGTCCCCTGTAATGCTTAGAGAAGTTTACATTTTCCAAATCTTCAATAAATTTGGAATTCATTAGCTTATTTAGAATCATAGAATGCTTTGGGTTGGAAGGGACCTTTGGAGATCATCTAGCCCAACCCCCCTGCAGGGAGCAGGGACAGCTTTAACTAGACCAGGTTGCTCAGAGCCCCACCCAACCTGACCTTGAATGTTGCCAGGGATGGGGCCTCCACTACCTCTCTGGGCAACCTGTTCCAGTGCTTCACCACCCTCATTGTAAAAAATTTCTTCCTTATAGCCAGTCTAAATCTATCCTCCTTCTGTTTAAAACCATTACTCCTTGTGCTGTCACAACAGGCCTTGCCAAAAAGTTTGCCCCCATCTTTCCCATAGGCCCCCTTTAAGTACTGAAAGGCCGCAATAAGGTCTCCCCACAGCCTTCTCTTCTCCAGGCTGAACAACCCCAACTCCCTCAGCCTGGCCTCATAGGAGAGGTGCTTCCAGCCCTCGGATCATTTTTGTGGCCCTCCTCTGGACCTGCTCCAGCAGCTCCATGTCCTCCTTGTGCTGAGGGCTCCGGAGCTGGACGCAGCACTCCAGGTGGGGTCTCACCAGAGCAGAGCAGAGGGGCAGAATCACGTCCCTCGACCTGCTGGCCACGCTTCCTTTGATGCAGCCCAGGATACAGTTGGCTTTCTGGGCTGCAAGTGCACATCGTTGCCTCATGTCCAGCTACTTAAAAAAAAATCTCAAAAAAAGAAACAGACTACTAGACTGTATTTACTCAAGAAAATTGGTTTGACTAAAGTTTTAACAGACTTCATACTATCTTTTCCATTTACACAGGCCTACCTTGAGCATCCCTACCAGAAACCATGTATTTTAAAGAAACTCATTTGAAAAAGGTATCCTGATTTTTAATCTTTTTACAGAAAAGATAACAGAGAAGAAAATTGTAAAAGCAAAGCAACAGCTTCCTTTTTATAACGTCTACTTATGAAAAGAGGCCAAATCAATTTTACTGCAACATAGTAGCTATGCATTCTGCAAGTAGCTATACGCTTTTTTCAAAGAGATTTCTACTTTCCCCTTTCCATTCAGATTACCTAAAATTTCCTTTTCCATCATCTTCTTTGACTTCTAAGGAAACACTGAAAGTGTACACATCACTATCTGGAGTAGGAAGAACAAAGTCCTTAACATGATCAGATGCTTGTTTGGAAGAACGTTTGAATGCGGTTGAGAAACTATATAAAATTCGGCTGACCTGCAGAAAAGCAAAAGAATTAATAGTTTAATCAAAATAAAAGAGTATTTTTAATGGGGTATTGTGATGTGTTTTTTAAGGTAAAAAAAATACTGTCACTTGCCTCGCACTGAGCACAAAGCGTGCCTCTCCTAACACAAAACATTCAGATCGGGTGTTTAATAACCAAGCGAATTCAGTAACAACATCTCCTATTTCCATTCGTGTCACATTCACTGCTCATGGAATGCTCAGTAAATTAATATGTGTTACAAGATTAGGAATGCACCTCATTAGAGGACCCAAATAATGTACTTTGCAGGTTGTGTATTTAACACCACAACTTACAGCTTGCTCTTGCAGATGTCAAAAGACAAGGTGATTTCTTGTTTTTCAACCTCTATTTTTACACCCTAGAAAATCCTTTTCTCCCAACCTATTGCACAGTTCTTCCTAAAATATCTAGGGGAGAGTACTGTAAAATGATTCTTTGTAACTCACAAGGTTTACACTGCAACTTTAGTCTGAAACCTGCCCAAATGAGGCCTGAAAAACAAAATATTTGTCTTAAACTTAGCCTTTCTAAATCTTCGGATTACGGTGCACTTTGGAATTTTACCGAAATACTAAAAGAAAAAGAAAAAAAATTTAAATTATATTAATAGTCACATATGACTAGCTGCACATTCTGTGAAATTCATTATGTATGTGTTAACATATTTTTCAAGGCACTATATGCCATCCCCACATCTGGAATAACTTCTTAAAATACCACTTGTATCCTCTTTACAAGTCACTGTACAACATTTAATACTTACTGCCTCTTTAATCTCACAGGAGAAAACATGAATCTGGAACTCTTCAGTTCCACAGCTGCTTTCAGTAAATGCAAAACAGTCACTCTCTGAAGTCCCATTTTGTCCCCGCACACAAAACAACACCTTGTAGATTGGAAAAGAGGCTATCTCCACATTGTTGGATTGATCTATTATTCTGTCAAGGGAAGGAATGGGGAAGATCAAAGAAAAAGGTCAGTAAAACAAACAGGCCTACCTAAAAGATTCTTCTGCAATTAGATAAATATCTAAACTGTAATTACTACTAAATTTAAGTACACAAGATGGGCAGCAGGAAGATGCTTTCCAAGCTTTCCAAATTTAAGATGTTTCTGGTTGTAACATCGGCTTAATTTTTTTATACTCTATAATATAGAAAAATATAGTACCTCTATATCATGCAATAACAATGACCATCATTGTTCTGCAATCATTCGTGAAAAACACAAGTTGAAATGTAGAAACAACAGCAATCGTGAAAATGCAATTTGCATACAACAATCAAAGAAAATTCAACATTATGAAAGAATTTAAATCTCTTTTTAAGGAAACATTAAGAAAGCATTAAATATTATTTATTCAGAACCTACAGGACTATATAGCTTAGCAAATGCTTGCTGCCATGTTCAGGTGGATATTAATCACAGATCTAAGGGCTCATACAAAATTTTAAATTCCTCTCAAACTCAGAACCCAACAAATATTTCAGAAACTTTAAAGAAGACAACAGGGGTGGTGGTCTCAGAGCAGACTACTAGACAGTGAGTTTTAAAGAATAATAGTTAGAGCTACACAGTCCTCCCCTGTCTCTCCTTTCCTCGTCCATCTGCACATTTCACCTCAAGGGTGAATAAACATTCGTTACATGGAACAGAATCCCAAGCCTGTAACAATAAAAATAAAGGACTCATCTTCTAAACGCAAGAAAAGCCCAGAGAGGCTTCAGCATGCTGTAATATTGGTGGGACACGTTAAATGGAACCCCACATGACAAGTGTTCAGATACTAGGAATGGAAACACTCCTCAAAGATGACACTGGTGCCACTTGAACTTTGATATCAGAGTGTATTATGTCACACATGGATTCACCTTTACAGTTCTGTGCAGATTCTCAGGCAGTCCTTCACTTAATGATGTCCTCTGCAATTAAAGATCAAAGGAACCTGCAGTTTCACTTGCAAAACAGACTTCTTGAATGGCCACAATGGCTATGAAAATAGGTTCAGCACACCTAGCACCTAGTGTCTACATGACAGTTGCCATCATAAAAGCATGCAACATAATTTCCTAATTCAAATGAAATATTGCCGTAATGTCAAACACAATATTTAATTGGGTTCAAACAGCAAAATGGAAGAAAATAATACATCACGTGTGCTTGAAGGTCCCTCTGTCTTTCTGTGCAAGACGATAGTCAATACATAGGCAGAGCACAGAAAAGAAAGGAAATCTAACCACAGCCTTCAGGTATCTTGGTATCAGAATTTAAAAATAAGATTAAACAGCTTGAATATTGAGATGCTCCCTACTTCTGGATGGAATACTGCTACAGGTGCACCTTTAGTGCACCCTGATTAAGAACCCTTGACACTCTCATCACTAATTAAAAGACCCTTCTCACATGGGACAAGTAAATGTTTTCTAGTATCTAGAGACTATCAGCATATGCATCAGGAGGCAGACACAGGTTAGACTTGGCTTTAGCACAGCAATGTCTGGAAACAGAAACCGGCCTCTCAAGTCCTCAACAAAAATAGAAGAGTCTAGAACTGAAACTTCAGCTAACCCAAGGCTGGCAGTACTACTACTATCTCAACCTATTTACCTTGGAGGTGATTACAGACCAGGGAGGTTGGGTGAAAACAGGCATTATCAGGTCTCCCTTTCCAGTATATCAGAAATCACTGAAGATGATGCTTGAGGATATTGGCCCTACAGCTAACAAACAGGCACTTGCTGATAATCAATACAGAGACACCAACCCTCAGAGTAAACCCACGCCCAAAAGGTGACTTTCAGCCTCACACTTCCTCTTCAGGATTCATGGGTTTGAAATGGCTCAACTACTCCTTCACAGTATAAAGGCTTTGAGTGAATAAGCACAAACAAGTGAATGTGATCATTGATATAGCATTTCCACAGGTCAACTGCTTCCTTTTTTAAAAGGCAAAGTATTTCACTGTACCTGATTACTGACAAGCAGTATTACTACCATGTTCTGCATCATTATCCACAAGCAATGGCATGCACACGTAGACAAAAAGTACGATAACATTTCTCTCTGCTTTAAGTTCCAAGAGACTTACACCTAGACATGCAGGTACCACAAATTTGCAGGCAGCTTGCATGAATGAGCTATCTGGACAAAGAGGCATCTCGTATTATCCTATTAGAACAGAGATGCAGGTAGAGAGAGATGAATTTGTTGACATTGTATGACAACCGCTACCACCATGTACTGCATGTTAAACTTGAGCATGCATTTTGTTGCTTCAGAGAAATTTCTCAACAATAACTGTCTTCAGCAAGAACTTTAGACACAAATCCAACAATTCTACTTCCCTGTGTGAGTAACAAAGTCAGAATCCACCTTTTATGTGCCTGTGCAAGTAACAAAAGAAACATTTGTATGTTACCTTACAGAGCCTTCTGGAATGTTTGGAACATAAAGCGTTACAGGTAAAGGGGCTTGACTTGAGGATTTCATGTTTGCCATGGCATGTAGAGCTTCCGGTTCATTTCGAGGGGCAGACACCTTTGTGCAACCTAAATAAGTCAGTTTGTTGAACAATACGCTGTCCTCTTCCAGGGGTTCACTGGGAGAAGATGGCCTTGGTGCAGCGATTTCTGAAAATGAAGAAACCATTTCTTTAACCATTTGTCTTTATTTTTACACATTGTCTTCTGAAAGAGTTTCACACCAAAATCTCCTGCTTTTTCTGAGAATAGACATTGGGGTCAAAAGTCCACCTCCAATAGTAAGAAATCCATTCGGCAGCTTAATATTAATGTTAAGTCTATTCTATACTAATGCATGTGTCCAAGTATTGCATAGGGATAAATTGCCTTTTGATTTGTTTTAGCAGTGCTAGAACACAATTTTTCCTTAAGGTCCATTCCCCACATGTTCTGATCTTTACTTTGCTTGTACCTCCTTCTAATTCCTACTCATCATTTTGCATAAAGATGCCTCTAATTCTCCTCTCTACCATGGCTTTGCAGCTTGTGCAGAATTATTAAATGTGGTCCACATTCCTGGTATAGCTATATTAATTGCATGAAACCATCAGGAAGCTGGAGAAAAGAAAAGGGATATCTGTTTGTTCCTCTACTCATCAGAAGAGAAGCATTCTTTTTCCACTGACACACTACTATGGACAGGGGTGATTTTGAGGGAGCTTTTGGGATTTTTGCTGTTATTGTTGTTCTCTGGTGGGTTTTTTTTTTTTTTAAGGCATTTTGACATTTGAGAAACAAGAGGAAAGGTGGAAGAAAAAATTCGTTAAGTATGGAAACAGAGCAATCTAAGTTGGAAAAGACCTCTAGAGGTCATCTAGCTTTAACTCCTGCTCAAAGACAGATCAGGTTAGATTAGGGCTAGTTTCAAAACTGGATCAGGTTACTCAGGGCCCCGTCCAGGTGAGTTTTCATATCTCCAAAGACGGACATTCCAAACCTCTCTAAGCAATCTGCCCTGTTATTTCTATTTCTTATTACTATAGCTAATATTTCCATAATACTTAAATCATAAAGGTTGCAAGATTTAATTATTCCTACTGCAGGGAAAGGGGAGGATGTATCTATAAGTATTCCTTTGTTCGTCCATGCTAAGGGTTGTGTTCTGTTTGAAGTATGTCAAACAGAAGAAAGCCAGTAAGGTAAGTTTCTCAAAAATACAGTATACATGTAATTAAGAGAAGGGTGTTTCCCTTTTGCATAAACTGTCTTATTCTACCACAAAAACTCTTTTTCTTTTTTCTTCCTTCCCAAACAGATGCTATGGAAATTATCTGCTAGAATGCCACAGAAGTGCTCTGCATATTACCAAGGGGAAAAAGAATTCTAACTCAAGGCCCACAGAGACGCCCACAGCCTTGTATTCCTAATATATATTTAAAAAAAAAAAAAAAAAGCTACAATACATTTTACATAAAATACATACAATATAGTTTACATAAAAAGCTTTCAGTCCTCCATTTTTCACCAAAACTTCAAATACCAGAAAAGTACCACAATCATTCTTAGCAAATACCACATCTAAAGCTGTCATTACTGATACCTGGTGACAGAAGCAGAGCTGAAAAGTTTATCAGTTTGCTCGGGGTGTATTTCATTTGTAGCTAGTACTGTCAATGAACACTGCCCTGAAACTTCTCATACTTCATCAGTAGCATCTCTACTTCAACTATAGTCCATTCAGCAAGTTACATGATACTTAGTCCTAACTCATCTAGGGCTGGAGACAAAATGAAAATTATCTTGACCAAAACAGAGCAGCACAGGATATCAATCTGATGACAACCTATTCCTGTCTATAATCCTCAACTAGTCAGAAAAGGAGAGGAGGCCCCAGGGTATTCTCCAGTACAGTTTTGGAATGAAGTTCTAGAAAGCTTTATATTCATTTTAAGGTTAACTTGAAACGGCATAAAGAAAAAAACTGACATATATGATTGAGGGGGGAAGCACTTTAGCAATACCTGTAGTAGAAGGGTCTAAAACAAGGTGCAAAGATGGCTGATTTGTTTGATCTGCTGACCCATCTCCAGCTGTCTGGCTGCTTGCATCACTGGAACCTTCTCGGAGAGCAGTGAAATTGTTCTGGTCTTTTTCAGATTCCCTCAGTATCTCTTCCATTGCCTTCTCCAGCTGATCATCTCCATTTGAAAATACCTGTAAGCAGAAGATGACATTTTTTAAAGGTACTCGTAGTTTTACTTCCACTATTATTTTTCAAACATATAGTCTTACTCATTGCAAAAGTTAAGAAAATTTCCTGGACAACACACTAAGAATCAACAAAATTAAATCAGATATAATCCAATGTCCCATCCCATTACATATAAGGCACATATTCTCACTGCTAATCCAACAGCCACCCATCTGAAAACTATGGACCTCTCAAAGTAACAGGTTTGTGTGTTTAGATCCTCCATTCAGAACAAAGATCAACAGACTTTGTTACAGATTAGTCTTAAAGAAAATTTTACTTTCTTAGTCATATCCAATCCATTCCAGTTGTTTCACCCATTGTCCCACACATAGGAGGGGTGCAAGTCTAAGGAAATGGCAAGAAAATGGTGAGACACATTCCCTAGAAAAAAAAAAAAAATACAGCTTTTCACGAGTACTAGCTTTTCATACAAAAAAAAAACCCAGAGCCAATAATAAAGTTGCATCATGGATTCTACCTCCAGTTCACCTGCCTCTTTCCAGACGTAATTACTAAAGCAGCAGGTAGTGTTTAATACAGACAGAAATCATCGGTTGTAAATAACTGCTGAACAGTTATGCAAAGGCAGACTAAGTACTTATTGTCATTTCAAGGGGAACAAATTCCTGTTGTTCCAAGTGGACCAAAACCAGTAAATCAGCTACTGCAATTCAAGTGGGGAAATTTGTAATTAACCAGTCAGCTGTCACCCAAATGCTAAAATATTCTGCTATTTAGAGGTAGAAAGCTTTTAGAAAAGATCTTGGTCATGCCTAAAGTACCACTAAGCAGGAAAACTAAATTAAAAACTAAAACCCAAGACCCTCTGTTGGTCTATTCCTATGCAGACTAATTATGTGCTTTTAAGATAACAACATACAGAGTCTCTGATCCCTAAATAAAGAATATTTCCCAAGCTTTAATCTGAAGCTCATTCTTTGAAAAGAACGTTTTAGTCCTTTACTAATGTATAAATCCACAAAATACTAACAAAGCTGACCCCTGAAGAAGTTATTAAGAGAAAAACTGAACTGCCACTTTTGGACAGATTTGCTTAATCTGAGCTGTTAATTTCACTGGTAATAAGCAAGGACAAAGACTACAGTCTAAGAGTCTCCTCAAGCACACACAAGTATCTTTAATTAAATATTCAAAAAAGTTACAATTTTTTGATCAGTACAAATCTTACTACGCATTTAAAATAAAGTAATAGTAAACCTTTAGCTGAGATTTTTCATCTTTTCCAGAGGTGTCCTCAGATTGCTGATGAACCAGGACAAATTCTTCATTAATTAACGTGGATACAGTTTCAGGAATCCTACTGGTTTTGACTTCCATCTCAGGTCAGTATTCTCCTCCTACCACAAGAACCTAACAAAGAAGGAAAAATATGAAATAATTAGTTTTGAAGCTGTAAACAATATGTTAATAGATGTAACACGAAGTCATTGTGGAATACTATAATACCTAAAGTTATATCAATGTATTACACTATATTCCTCAAACTCTGATTTCATTGGTATAAGGAATCTTTCCTTAAATAGCAGGTATGATTTTTAGGGTGTGTGTTTAAGAATCCTATGATTTAACAGCAGTGGCTGTTATCTATGTGTATAGACAACACATGAGGAAGTTCACCTTGGAGCTTCCACTTCCCCTGTTTTTAATCTTCCAGAGTCTGCTCCCTCTACCTCCCAAGTTCCTGCCCTTTGTTCTCCCTCATACAGGTATATTTCTTACCCAGAGTGTCATGCAGGCTGTGTGAAGATACAGATTACCTGAAGACTAATTTCCAAAAATTGCATATCAAAGTGTATGCTTTCCACATGAAAACATATTTAGCAATCAATTATGTTACAGTTGTTTTTATTATTATTAACCACAAAAACAGCACTTAAAAAGAGACATGCATGTTCTCCACCATTCTTAACAGGCATTACTTAACATGCTACCCTCAAGAGGCAGTTTAGCAACTTTGGACCAAAAAAACAAGTGTGGGAACTAGACTGCTTTCAACACAAAAATATCTCGTGTCACTTTTGAAACTACAGTCAACATGCTTTTACTCTTTCAAAGACTTGGCTTGTCATAACCATTTATACATGCAACTCTACAAAAAGATTTTCCCTTTCCTAACCTAGCCACAATTCTACCCATCAACACAGTGAGGGTGTTATACGTAGAAATCCCCCAATAACTAAAGAACTCAAGTTCTTCAGGTAACCGATTTGTATGTAGCATAAAAACTTGTTAGAAGATTCACCTTATAAAAAAAGCCACTAAACATCAGCTATAATATTCAGAGAGTGATTACAAATATGGATCAGCAGTTTAGAGCTCTCTGTTGTCTTTCACATCTCTAGACTAAGCATGAATTCACAAGCATGAATATTTTTCAGACAGATGACATAATCTGAGCTCCACCCAAGCCTAAGTAATGGATTCACCGCTGAAGTAAGTTTTGTTTCAGTGTTTTAAAGCATCTTTGCTTTTAAGATCTTTCTGGCAAAAGAAAGACAAAGTTGTAATACACAAGATTTTAAGTATGCTATAAACAATTTATTTGTCTATGTATTTTTTTAACAAATGTCATGTTGTAAAAATGTTGCTGAAGAGCTTGTGTATGATTTGCAATAAACAGCAGTCTAGCTCAAAACGAATATTAATTTCAAAGTAAATCCTCAATATAAAAGTGAAGATCTGCTATTACAGAACTCTTCAAAGGCAATAAAAGAACATAAAATAATGTTCCCCAAATGTAGTATATCCTGAGTAATCATTAGCTCTGCAGTTACACCACCACCGGAGAAAAGAGCAGAGGATGACTATCAGTCCTACTGGCCTCATCAGGAGCAAAGGTCTAGTCTACCAGAAGCCTCTCTCCATCCCACCCCCATACCTACTATTGCTGGACTTCATGAAGACGACAAAGATGAAACCTCACCACTGCTTCTAGCACATTTGCAGAAAGGAGAGATCACAAGATATGTTATTTTGACAATTGTTAGTGGTTTAGTCTATTTAAGTTTATCCTTTGTGCTTACTTATGGGAGAACGTCGTGGTTTAACCCTCTCCAGCAACTAAGCACCACACAGCCACTTGCTCACTCCCCCTGCCCCG